TCGGGAATGACAAGGAAGACTCAGAAGTTGGAGCTTGTTCACTCAGATGTCTATGGACCCGTATCGGTTGCTTCAGTAGGAGGATCGAGATACTACGTCACCTTCATTGATGACTCTACCAGAAAGGTATGAGTTTATTTTCTGAAGAATAAATCTGAAGTATTTGTCACCTTTAAAAGGTGGAAAGCTGCTGTTGAAAATGAAACTGGTTTAAAAGTCAAGTGTTTAAAATCAGATAATGGGAGTGAGTACAGCAACAAAGATTTTGTTGATTATTGTGCCGAGAACGGAATCAGAATGCTGAAAACAGTTCCAGAAACACCCCAACAAAACGGGGTCGCTGAAAAGATGAACAAAACCCTTTGTGAGAGAGCAAAGAGCATGAGGCTACAAGCAGGTCTACCAAAGATGTTCTGGGCAGATTCTGTTAACACGGCAGCGTACTTAATCAATCGTGGACCCTCAGTTCCCATAGGGTTCAAGATTCCTGAAGAAGAATGGCGAGGTCAAGAAGTATCACTTACTCATTTGAAAGTATTTGGTTGTGTCGCCAATGTCAGGATCAAGGATCCAGACAGAGACAAGCTCGAGGCAAAGGTGATGAAGTGCATCTTTATAGGCTACAGTTTGGATGATATGGGTTATCGCTTCTGGGATAATCACAACAAAAAGATTATTAGAAGCAGAAATGTGACATTCAATGAGAATGCCCTGTACAAAGATGATATTGCAACAGCCCCCAGCCAAAGCAAGATGCCAGAAAGAAAGGATCAAGTAGAGTTTGATGAGATTTCAGAAGAAGACATTGTGAAACCTGTCAGTGCTTCAGAAATTGGTCAGAGTTCAGGAAATAGTGGGAGCTCAGAGGAGAACGGGGGATCTGGAAATAGTGAAAACACAGAGGATATTGAGAGTTCAGATACTGAGACTATTGACAGTGAACCTCCAACAACATGGGTTAGAAGATCCACCAGAGTTACTAGACGTCCTCAAAGATTCTCCCCATCAACAAATTATTTGCTATTGACTGAAAATGGTGAACCAGAATGCTATTCAGAAGCTTTGAAGATGAAAGAATCCGTACAGTGGGAGCAAGCTATGAATGAAGAAATGAGCTCACTTGAAAAAAACCAGACTTGGAGATTGGTCAGATTACCTGCAGGAAAGAAAGCTTTGCATAATAAATGGGTATCCAGGGTCAAAGATGAGATCGACGGCAACAAGAGGTACAAGGCTCGATTGGTTGTCAAAGGTTTCCAACAGAAGAAAGGAGTGGATTATAATGAGATCTTCTCCCCAGTTGTGAAGATGACCACAATCAGATCAGTCTTGAGTATTGTAGCCGCCGAAGACTTGCATCTAGAGTAGCTGGATGTCAAGACAGCTTTCTTACATGGAGATCTTGATGAAGATATTTACATGATGCAACTAGAGGGTTTTCAGATAGCAGGGAAAGAAAACTTGGTTTGCAAACTGAAGAAAAGTCTTTACGGGTTGAAACAAGCACCAAGACAGTGGTACATGAAGTTTGACAACTTTATGAAAAGGAGTGGATATAAGAAATGTCTTATGGATCATTGCTGCTACTTGAAGAAATTCAAATCCTCCTACATCATATTGTTGTTATATGTTGATGACATGTTAATTGTAAGACCTGACATGAGAGAAATCAACAAGCTGAAGAAACAATTATCTCAAGAATTTGAGATGAAAGACTTGGGAGCTGCTAAGCAGATTCTTGGCATGAGCATCACTAGAGAGAGCAGAAGGTACCTTGAAGTTATCTCAAGAAAAATAAATTGGGAAGGTGCTAGAGAAGTTCAATCTGAAAGATGCTAAAGCCAGAAGTACACCCTTGGGAAGTCATTTTACACTTACTAAGAAGCAATCACCTAAAACGGATAAAGACAAGGAAGAAATGGAAAAGGTTCCTTATGCATCAGCAGTTGGCAGTTTGATGTATGCTATGGTCTGAACAAGACCAGACATTGCTCATGCAGTGGGAGTGGTTAGCAGATTTATGTCAAATCCGGGAAGGGAGCATTGGGAAGCAGTCAAGTGGTTACTACGCTACTTGAAAGGCACATATGAGACATCATTATGTTTCAGCAAGAAAGATCTTGTCTTAGAGGGCTTCACCGATGCAGATTTGGGTGGTTGTCAAGATTCTGGTAAGAGCACTACTGGTTATGTGTTCACAATGGGAGGAACTGCTATTAGTTGGATGTCCCGGCTTCAGAGTTGTGTTGCTCTCTCAACCACCAATGCAGAATATATGGTAATTGCAGAAGCAAGCAAAGAGCTTATATGGCTGAAGAACTTCTTGTCGGAGTTGGGCTTTGAACAAAAAGATAGTGTTTTGTATTGTGACAACCAGAGTGCGATTCATCTCGCAAAGAATCCAGTGTTTCACCGTAGAACTAAGCATATCAAGATGAAGTATCATTTTATCAAGGAGCTGATAAATGATGGAGAGTTGTTATTGACGAAGATTCTTGGTACAAAGAATCCTGCTGATATGTTTACAAAGGTGGTGACAACTGAGAAGTTGAAGCTTTGCATGGCTTCAACCGGCCTTCAAGAATAGTGTTGAGAAGGCTAGTGCAACTAGGTGGAGCTTGAGAAGGTATGGTATTTACAGAAGTACAAAGGAGTGAAGTGGAGTGCAGTTGATCATGTTTCGAAGCCTCCAAGTGGGAGATTGTTGGGGTGTAGGCTTCGGCCCATTTAGATCTGGGAGCCAAATAAGCAGTGAGCAGCAGCTAGAAGTGCAGCTAGCCGTAGCTAGATGTGCAGCCAGTCATAGTTGGGCCTGTTTTTGGGGTGGCAGTCAAGCCCATAGTTTAGTTAAAAGTTTATCCTAATTGTTTGCCTATATATACTGCCTCCTATACTTGTAAACGACTGTACTGTATTTTCATCACCTCAATAACAAAGAAAACCCTAGTTACCCCCGTGGATTAGGTCAGTAACATTTACTGGCTGAACCGCGTTAAATTCGTTTGCCGTTCTTGTTTTATTTTTCTTTCTACTATTGTTCAGATCCGTGTGTGAGAGCTAGAGATACTAACCCTAACACTATTTCCTATCACCCACCTTGAGGACAAGGTGGTTGTCAAAGGAGAGAGATATGATAGAAACATGGGCAGAAAATATTATATCATAATAATGATAATAATAAATAATTGTGAGTGTGTAATAGTAAGGTTTCTGGGCTATGTAATAGGAAGAGGTTGATCTGGAAAGAAACAAATCAAAGTGCGAGGTTCCAAGCAATCAGGTATGAGAAAAGATGGGGAAATATGGTTGAGAGTTGATAAGCAATCAAGGAAGGAAGAGGTGTCAGATTGAAGCTGGTTTCTAGGGCTATTTCCTATCACCACCTTGAGGACAAGGTGGTTGTATAAGGAGAGAGACTGATTTCTAGGGCTATTTCCTATCACCCACCTTGAGGATCGGGTGGTTGTCTAAGGGGAGAGATATGATATGAACATGGGCAAAAAATATCATATCATAGATAATAGTAATAGAATTATAATAAATAATTGTGAGTGTGTAATAGTAAGGGTTTTGGGCTATGTAAGTCTTGAGTTGGGCTCGCCCTTTTGTTTTATTTTAAGAATGGGAGGGACTAAAGGAGGAAGTTAGGCAGAATTTTAATTGGAATTAGGCTGGGAGAGTAAGGCCTCTCGAAGAGTCTCGATATGTTTCTTCTCTTTCTATTCTCTTGTACGCTTGTTTACTGTTTTCCTCCATTGTCGTTTGCTAAAGAAATGTACTGAGCTTATCTGGATTTTTGGTGTTCTCTATCAAATTTTCACATTTTTTCGGAGTTTTTGCTCACACATTCTTGTACATCGCCCTTATTTTTAAATAGGGGAATATGAGTATTCTTTCGTCAACTCACTGGCATTTTATTATTTATCTAAATTATGTTAAGAAATGTGTTAGCCACTCAATGTGTGTCTCTCTCAAACCTTTTGAGGCCTCGACCGGTATGTCACCTGGATCCACTGCTTTCTTCTCCCCATCTTTCGTAGAGCCTCTTTAACTTCTGTCGTTTGGATCTTTTTCACAAAATTTTTATTTATCATATAATCCGGTATAGTCAGATTATCAATACCTTCTCCTATGATCAACTTCTCTCCCCTTAGCACTCGTCGCACCACTTCCTTAAGATCTTTTCAAAAATTTGACTGATAGATGTAATCGCACTTGTCGTGCATAAGCACTTACTACAGACATGAGCTCATCTTCTATTATCAATTTAATGCTCATGATGCGGTCGTTCTTCTTAAAGACTTCCACCACACCTTCGACATAATCACACGCCACAGTAATGCCTACTCAATTTTTTGGTTTTTTCTCTTTGAATACCACAACTTAAAACTAGCGGGATTAATCTCATGTGCCTTTTCTCTAACTCACTTAGTTTCTTGCACACATAATGCTGATATTCTTGCTCATAACCTCAAATATCAAAGATGATCTTCCCGTAACATATCCAACATTTCACGTCTCAAAATGCAATCTAGCACCCTGCCTTCTCTTCTTCACACCCTGCCTTCTCTTCTCATTTGACACTATCATTCTTATCATCACATTCATGCCTATGAAGTGCAAATGACCAGAAATTTAAACAAAAAATAATCCCACCTTCAACTTGATTTTTTCAAATAAAGACACAGTAGCAGGATGAGTAACTAGTAGTCTAGTACTGTTACTGCACACCAATAGCAGTAGCAGTTCCATTGGCTCTCAAAGACGCCTCGTGAGTATATAGTGATATGCGGAAACGACATCACAACCCATGTAGCAGTTCATACATCCATGTTTTGTCCATAGATTTCTAATTTTGTCTTTAAATCCTTTTTCAATAACTTACAAGTAATTTCCACATCTATTTGTTCTCATATATTTGTGGATGGTGGTACAGAAAAAATTGAACTACTACTCTATTAGTATAGTAGTCCCAGTATATAATCATAATTGAAAATAAGATGGGATGGCAGGTAATGTGTCCGTACATGGGCCTATCACTCAGTCTCAACTCCTTGGATCTCTTGGAATAAACTTCCGACTCGAGGCATTGATGGAGAAGTGTACTGATGAACAGGCTGAATGCCTAAGGGCAGGTTACTGGCGTCTACTGGGTGATGGGGAAGCCCCATTTTGGGAAGGCCCTCAAGATCAAGTGCCCATTGGAATGGGAACTCGGTATTTAGCCATGGCCATTGTTAACAAGAAACAAGGCATTCCAATTCCATTCCAATAAACTTTTTCGTGCAAATTTCCTCTTGCATTAACTTTAAAATGTTTATTTTTGTTTCAGTGAACTACATGTTATACGTTCTCTTTAACGCACCCTATTTAAAACATATATGAGATGCTGCAGTACCCTCCTTTTTTATGAGGGTTTCTATGGAGATGACCGTACACAGATGGAAAACACTAGACGTCTTACATAGTTACATAGATGGTGGGATTAGATTTCTAGAGAACTGATCGGACTTGATGTGTCCATCATAGAATGTTTAGGCCTTGTTTGGTTCGAGGGTTTCGGAGGAGGGGGGAGAGAAGTGAGTGATTTGTGTGTTTTGGTTGAAGGCAATAGGAGGGAAGGAAAGGAAAGTTGAAGACTTCCAAAATCCTCGCTTCCTCCCATTCTCACCCCAAATCGGGGTATTTTGGAGGAAACATTTTGTTAATGACAAACTATCCATCATTTTTCTCCTACGTGAATGGACAAAAAGCAGTAATACAAAAAATGAAAAAATAATTAAAAATATAAAATAAATAAACAATAAACAAAAAATTTGAAAAAAGTAAAATTTGAAAATAAAAAACTAAAAAATCTAAAAAATTAAAAAAAATTAAAAACTATAAAATTGAAAATTTTAAAAAATTACTACATCAGTACAAAAAAACTTTGCAATTTCAAAAAAATTGAACCTTCATTTTGAGAAGTACTTCCTCCGTCCCATTTTACTTAGCCAGTCTTGACTTTTCAAGTCAATGAAGTCTAACTTTGACCGATTATATGTTTATATAGAGAAAGTATTAATAATATAAAAATGATATGAAAATGTTCTTTGTTAAAAATACTACAATAAAAGTATAAAATTATTAAATTTTGCATAAATATATTAGTTTAAATAATTGATCAAAATTTACCATCTTTGACTGGAAAAGTCAAAGATGACCAAGTAAATTGGGACGGAGGGAGTATAATATTATAGAAGTTATAAATTTTATACTTTTACAAAGAAGTTAAAAAACTAAAGTATTAGAAATTTAAAAAGTAAAAAATAAAAAAAATTAAAAAATTAAAAAAAAAATTAAATAATTAAAATATTTACAAAATTAGAAAATAGAAAATTAAAATTTTAGAATTTAAAAAATAAAAAATTGAAAAACTAAAAAAAATTAAAAAAATCAAAAAATTAAAAACTTAAAATATTATAAAATCAAAAATAATAAATTTAATATATTTAAAATTTTAAAAATTAGAAAATTTAAAATTAAAAACTTTAAAATTTAAAAATAAAAAATTGAAAAATTAAAAATTAAAAAATAAAAAAATTTAAAAATTTAAAAATAAATAAAAAATAAAAAAATAGTTATATTATGACCCATGACATTCACTACTAGAATAATAGCTATTTGCTGCGGTTATGAACCGCAACAATTAGCATGGCAACAAACAGTAGAAAAACTTATTTGCTACCAGTGGCGGAGCCAGAAAATCGTTCGGGGGTCGAAAATGGTGGATCGTTTTTAAACAATGTCTGAGTTATGGGTGGACTCGGGTTCGGGCTGGGTCCGGGTCGGGCCTAAGCTCGGGCGGGCCGGCGGTTCAGGAGTAGTGGACCCGGGACCGGCCCGGGTAACCACCGGGTCCAGTCCGGGCCGGGCCGGGCCCATTATCAATTTTTTTCCCCATTCCTAATTAACCCCCCTCCCACCCCAACCCCCCCAAACCACCCCAAAATGGCCCAAAATACCCGGCCCATCCCGAAAATTTTAAAAAATTGGAAAAAAAAATTAGTTTTGGCCCGAACCGGGCCTGAGCTCGGCCGGGTCGGGCCTTGTTTTGGGTGACCCGATCCCGGACCGGAAAACCCACGGGTCGGGCCTACCTGGACCGGTCACTGACCGAGCCATCGGGTCGGGCCGGGCTGGAACAGTGCCGGTCCCGGGCCGGTTCCGGGTCGGGCCACCCGACCTGAGTTTATCCATAGTCTTAGTTGAATATTTCATATGCAGTTTAGATAAATAGGCAATCATAATAACAATAAGATAGATTGTCTTTGCTCTGTTTCTGAGTCGTGTCACGTAAGTATTTAGTGAATTATATCATATTTTTAAAATTTGGGAAATAATCTATAGTATGCATTGAAGTTTTGTTAGTTTTACGTTTAGATAGTGTTGATTTTCTAGAAGTCATAACTTTTTACTTGTAATGAGTTACGGGGGACGTAATATATCAAATCGAAGATAATTCAAAGTTTTATACTCTCGAACTTCCAGCGGGGTTTGCTGCGGTTCAGAACTGTAGCAAATAGTCATTAATGAAAAATGGGTTTTGGCTTTTTGTAGCAGCAAGTATGTAGCAGCAAAAAAGGGTTTTGATTTATTGTTGCGGTTCTGAACGACAACAAATAACTATTATTTTCGCAGCAAAAACTCTCTAAAACATTGTAATTTAGTGCATTTTTTGTTTTCGATACTACCGAAGTTTATAAATCTGATTTTATTAAAATATATCTTATCTTATTTACAAAATAAGAAACAATTCAATTCGAAAGTCTATGTATCTCATCGATCAAAACCATAATTCCAAAACAAATTAAGTTATACATCACTAAAATCCATAAGGAAATACAATAGTTATTGCCTTATGTAAGTTTATCAGCACTATAAGTTTACAATAAATCATCGCACACGTATATGACCAACGCATCGCAAACTTCGAATTCTTCATCACTTGAAAAAAACTATAACATTCGGTGCTCCAGTAAAGTGATGGATATGGTGAGTTTGAAGACCATTGAAGCATAGTGAGTTACAAATTGCAGTCAGAGATGATGCAGAAAACTTGGAATATATAAAACTAACGGACTTCAGTGTTCCACTATTCGAAGTCTATTCGGCCTCAAAAGCTTACATAATCCCTCAATCTGAAAGTCAGTCGGCAACAAATAAATGAAAAATTGATTATAATAATCCCAACTATTGGCGGTCCGCTTATAATAATCTCAACTATCGATTATTTCAGAATGATCCCAATTTTTGGGACCTTGCGCCAATAATAGTCCCTGTAAATAAGTTTATGTACTTTCTAAAGTGGATGAGAAGAGATATAGCAAGTAATCCCTATAAATTATCCCTAACTTTTAATTTTTAAGCTTAATTTCTATTTAAAATTCACTTTTATAGAAGGTAATATTTGGTCATGGACCATTATTGGCGGACGGTCCATATAGTTGGGATTATACAAAAATAATCAATAGTTGGGATTATTGTTAGCGGACCGGCAATAGTTGGGATTATTATTTTCAATTTTTCCACAAATAAATGAAACTAGATGTATAAATTCATTCCCTCAACCCACATAATAGTCACAAAAATATGTTAACTGGCATTTAGGGTTGGACCCGGGCCGATCCGGTTCCGAGCCGGGCTCGGGCGGGCTTTTTTTCCAGGAAGTTGGGCCCGTAACCGGCCCGGGTTGATACCGGGTCCGGGCCAAACTGGGCCGGTTGAATGTATAATGTTTTTTTTGCTTTCTTATTATCCCCCGACCCCCCCCCCCCACCTCCACCCCCAAACCTCCCCAAAACACCCAACCGTACCCAAGAAAAAGAAAAAAATTGAAAAAACAAAAAAAAAAATGACCGGAACCGGCCCGGACCGGCCGGTCTGGTTCATGATAATCTGGGCCCGGAACCGGCCCGCCAGGCCCGTCCAAATCGGGTAAAGCCCGGAACCGGCCATCCGGGTTCGGTTCGGTCTGGGCCCGTAAAGTAACCGGGCCGGTCCGGTCCGGTCCGGTCCGGCTCGGTTGGGTCCATGCCTACTGGCATTGAGGTTGTACAACTTATATGGATGCTATATTATGGTGATTGAATCACCATGATTCAGACATTAACTTTAATGAAGAAAACTTACATGCTCTCTAGTTTGAGATTTTATCCACCTTAGTTCCAAACTCTACAATTTAGCATTTCTTAACAAATGCTGCAACAATGAATAAGGAGAGCAGTTCCAGACAGATTAAATGAATACCCTTAAGTTTGAGCAGACTATACTTTGTTTTGTCTTTCCATTAAAAAAAAAGGTACTCGGCCCGATCCGGTTAGGCATGGCAATGGGTCGGGGCGGGTACTGCAAGATCCAGACCCACCCCGTGACTTGACGGGATGGGTCTGCCCTGTGACCTGCACGGGTCTAAACTTGTTGACCCATGACCCGCCCTGCTTGGGTCGGGTCTGCCCCGCCCCGCCCCGCCATAACCTAATTGGATAGTATATATTTTTATTTGTGAGAAGTTTTTACCAATTGAATCTACATAAAGTTTATCTTTAAATAATTATTATAAATTAATATATTAAATCAAATTCACGATACGATAGAAATTTCAAAAGTTAAGGAAAAATCACTTAGACTTGAATAGTTAATCTATTTAATTATATTAATACTTGAATATATGTATTAAAATGCTATATATAAAGAAGACATTGATAATCCGTCGTAAATCTCAATCTAATATATATATATATATATATATATATATAAATATATATATATATATATATAAATATATATATATATATATAAATATATATATATATATATATATATATATATATATATATATATATATATATATATATATATATATATATATATATATATGGGTTGGTTCCTGTGAGAACACCCTGTCAGGAAAGTAAAAAAGATTAAAATCCAACCATCTAATATACTCAATCGACGATTAAGATTTGATCAAAATGCTGATGGCAGTGCTAGTAAATATACGAGATTAGGAAGGGTTATTCTAATGATATAAGTGCCGCCATTAATATAAGGGACAAAGCTGTAAAATTGTGTCATGATCTAATCATGCGTGTAAATATTTTCCTTAAAAATCTCAATCGTTTTGCTATTTTGAACCAATAAACTCCTACTTTCTCTAAAAGTTAGGGTTGTTATCATGAAGCATTTAAGTTTTGTAACTACTATCACTTATATACGTGATTCTTCGTTGGAAGTTTCCTAATAATTAGGAAAACAATTAAATTACATTCTCTCGTGATTTGTTTTACAATATGTACTTCCTTTTAATTAGGAAAACAATTAAATTACATTCTCTCCGTTGGAAGTTTTTAAATTATTTATCAAATATATACTTTTAC